AGAGAGAGAGAAAGAGAGGAGGGGGGTACACCTTTGCATGATCTTACCCGTGCAGCACGAAATCACGTACGCGCTCGCAGTTGCATTGACACTTACGCCGAACAACAGCCATTGTAATTAGCCTGCGCTAATTAATTCACGCCTGTCGGCCAACCCAAGTACGCAAGCTACCAGCATTACGGCACACACACACGACGCGAAAATCGCGCGCACAATAAATATATGATAATAGCAGAAGTAGATAATAGGGATCTACTTCTGATAATAGCAAGATAATAGTATGCTTATGCTATCTAGCACACGGGTTAGAGAGTCACTCGGCTGCAAGTGAGTTGTGACTGATCTTCATCCTACACATGCTATGTCACCTACCTTTTTTAGGTCAAATATCCACTGGGATTACTGCTCGGGTTCTATGTCTATATGCGTGTCCAGCCGCGTATAACAGCGTTATGATGTCGGTATTATCTCTCTATTTCTTTACTACACACCCACACTTATGATAATGTATGCTCGAGGCAGACGAAGATGGCAAAGATGGTCATCATTTCTTCATCTTCCGCCACATTTCACACAGATGTTGTCGAACTCTGCGAAAATAATTAGACGGCGATTTTACGAGGACAGTATGCGGTTATCGAACTTTTTTTTACGAGGACAGTACGCTCTCCCCGTTAAAAACGGTTATCGAACTGTTTTTACGGCGAGAATATAAACTTTTACAACGCGGCATATCGCACACATCTGCCGAACCGCGCTTCTATCGCGCGAGGAGGGCTACACACATGTAGCATAACGCAGAAGAAACATACATGCACTGACACGCACAACTAGCCGAGTTTCGTCGTGTTTTGTGCTGATGTTGCTGTTTAGCTCCATGGAATCTTAATTAACACAAGCTGTAGACAGCGAAGGCCGCCGCTGTACGTAATAGTCACACGGACGAAGAAAGCGGATACGGAAAATCAGCAGCAGCAGCAGCAGCAGCAGCAGCAGCAGCAGCAGCATCAGCAGCCTACTTTAGGACCCCCGGAGCGGCCCGGTACATAGATCACCGCCGCCGCCGCCATCATCATCACCACCACCACTACAATCATCATCATCATCAGCAGCAGCAGCATTATCAGCATCATCATCATCATCATCATCATCATCATCATCATCATCATCACCACCACCACCATCATCATCATCATCACCACCACCACCACCATCATCATCATCATCATCATCACCACCACCACCACCATCATCATCATCGTCGTCGTCTCGTTGCCGTCATCATCAGCATCACCATCAGCACATTAACGAAAATAACCCTATTAAACTAACACTAACATAAACCTATAGCTACCATTATTACAGGTATGCACGGGGCTCCGAAATAAGTTCGCCCCACAACACAACGTCCCATGCATAACCTTTCACACTGATGACTCAACTCTCACGCCACGCATTTAGTATTGCCGTGAACACAGCACATGAACACAAATATGTAACCCTGCAAATACAGGTTTTGTGCCTGTGCGGTTACACGTTTATATCCAATGTATAGAATGTACATCGATTCCGGGTCGACTCGGACCATAACGTTTTCGTACTATACGGAGTCGGCCTATACAGACTCGTCCCATAGCAGAGTCGGCCCATAGCATACAGACTCGTCCCATAGCAGAGTCGGCCCATAGCATACAGACTCGTCCCATAGCAGAGTCGGCCTATATTATATACTTACAATGTATATACAAGTATATACAAGTATATACTTACATATGTCCATTACATATGTACAAGGCTTGTCAACCTTCCTGCGGAAAGATCCATCTAAAGGATCCACCAACACGGGCCCGCGTGCACACGGTCTATAACCACTTGATAGCCCGGACCTAGCTCTACGACTGTTTCACGCCACGATGCGAGAAGGCAACTTGTGGGTAACCACTTGAGTTAGCGGTACCCATTAGCATTACTAAACATTCCCCGCACTCGTGCGTGCGTTGACTTACCCGAGAGAGCGAGAGAGAAATCCGAATCACACAGACAATTAGCGCTGCTTCTATAACTTCCCCTGTAGCGGAGGCGCTACACCTGGCTGTAGATCAACGACACGATACGCAGCGGGTGCTAACAACGACAGAGTTTCTTTCACCGGAAGACGAAGAAGATCCCTCGAGCAGATTCGAGTCCGATGTCAGATGTGCGTGCGTGTGAGGCCTCGGACGATCGCCGGACCGGGTGCGTGTGCTCTCTCTCTCTCTCTCCTACACGGAAGAAATTCTACACTGGACAACAACAGGCGTGAGTGTGTCGGCATGCGTGTGCGGCGGTCCGCTGCTGCTCTATGCACTATACGTACATTCATGTACGCCACCACTCGCTCACTGCAAGCGAGGCGCGAGAGAGAGAGAGCTTGCGGCGATTGCGTCTGTGGACCGAACTATTATCTCACTCAGAGGGGGGAAGCGCAGACGATTTACGCATCGGTTTGGTGATTTCACCGAGGGGTTATTGTACGCGAGCTCGCACTACACGTTTTGTTAATTTGTAAAGTATTTTGTAACGCAAGGAAAACGGGGATTGTTCGGGTGCTTATTTTCACTGGTGATGCGCTAACCAGTAACCCGCATTGTTACACCGATTCGTATGTGAATGACATAATTATTTGCAATAGATTGTTACAACCCTAACCCTCACCCACGCCCCCGAGTAGACGCTGTAGAAAACATCCTGAAAACTGATAGTAGCTTTAAATAAACGTGACAATGGTACCTGTAGATATTATTCTATAAATATATATATAATCAAGAGCAGATAAAGAAGCCCTTCTTTATCTGCTCTTGATATAATAGATAGTCTATTATTATCGCTCTCTCTCATGTGCGGTGGATTAAAACTATCAGTACATCTATCCACTGTACGTGCACGTGGGGCATGGTAGATGCAGACGATAGTAATAAAGATGTAATAAAGAAAATCTTCCTTTAATTATCGTTAAGTTGACACGCCCCTGCATTATAATGTACTTCGGTTATGCAAATACCATTGCGCGTAGAATAAGCCCATTATAAATGAATTACGCTGGAATATGTCCAAATGTTCATGTACCACGCGCATATACACAATGCAAATACAAATGTTATACACATGTAATACAAATAATACACGTGTAATAAACATGTATACACAAATAATACACATGTATTACAAATGCAAATACGCGCAGTATGAGCGCATCATAAACGAACCACGCTGGAATAAGTACAAAATTAATGTTCTCCTGCCTTTTCCTCCTCCGACCGATCCATTTGTCGATTACAGTTTTTTTTTCATAAACTACCTTTCCGATAATTTGCTTCGACTACACCCGACTACGCTCTGCACACACACTCACATGCAATAAAGCATGGGAGAAACCCAAGACGAGCGACAGCATTAGAAGCATTGCACCTTAATAGCAGGGGGCTCGTACGCGGTGCCTCGGCTCGAACTCAATCGTAGAACGTTGTGAACAAGCATTCAGCCCTGTGGGAGTCGCTCCGGGTCGTGGACGGAATAAAAATGCACCCGTAAAAAGACACCTTCCGCGCGCCATCAAAGCTGTTTCTCTCTTTGTGTAATCACGAATTGAAAGTGCATTATGTCCGAACGCCGTCTGTCTGTCTGTCACGCGCTATTAGTCGTTGATAATACACTCGCAGCACCTTGAAACGTGGTCGGGTATATCATTATAATATACTTAGTGCGTTTTTAGCGTTTTACTAGGGGTTTCGTGTAACAAGTGTATACTAAATTAACGTAGCGACTTCCGTGGGGCATCAATCACGTGACAGGCAGACGGCGGGCGGTATATTCATTACAGTACGGTCACCGTAACACGGCATGACCACGGACGCTTGGGCCGCTTTAAAAAATAAAATGAAGGTAAATATGTTGAATTTACTTCATTACTACCCACAAAGTCTTGTTTATGCACTCTGTATTGCATTATAACTCTGCGCACTCACGTGCAAAAACTCATAGAACGATAGAGTATCTATCTTTCTCTTAGTTTGTTCATTTATTTCTAAATTATTTCGTTTATGTAATTATTTGCGTACTGTTTTATCCTGTCCCAAAATATGTATGTACTTGTTTTTTTTAGGGTGAGCTGTTGCACCGGAAACGCTATAATATATTCATACACATTATAAGCTACTAGCGGTGGCAGACGGCTGCTAACATAATTACAAGTTTATCTAAACTATATTATTATCAGTAAGACCACGTGCTGCCATCTACACGTTAATATATAATATATAGAAATGATAACGAGATTTGTCATTGCAACCTTGCCTACGCACACGAAAACAGTTTTTCTACACGACTAAAAACAAACTAATCGTAACCAATATTATATGATATCAGTTGTGACTAATTAATACTAATGATTTCTATTTAATATCGCACTACGTATACGCAAAGCTAGATCCAGAGAGACGAGTAACCTGAATTTTTCCCTATTAGTTGTAGACTAAGATCTAAGCTCGTGCATATATACCTAGTATCAGAAGTAGATTCCTGCTAGTATCATCCGAAAGAAATGAAATTTTTAAGGATACATTCAGGGCAACGTAGGTGATATTCGGTCAAATATCAATACCCAGTTTATTTGATAGATGGCGCCCATGGGCAGTTATGTATACGTAGATATTATATCAAGAGTACATAATAGCAAGAGTAGATAATAACACATGATAATGTGTTATTATCTACTCTTGATAATAGAGATACATAATCTCTATTATGTACTCTTGATATTATGTATGTAGCCTCCCAAACAGCCCCCAAAATCCCCGCATACGCTTACCTGGCATATGCAAACCCAAACTCCACGACAGATGGCGCTCTCGCTCTGGCTCAATTCTACCTGAGTGTTATCCACTTAAGGTATCACGGTGGCAAATCCACCAATCAGCGCTGGGATAGTTAGAGAATGAGTTCCTTTTTGAGTGTCTGCATACGCTAGAATTTTTATTTCTTATTAGAAAAAATTATAACTGTTTGCAATTGTTAATTTCAGAAACTAGAATCTAATCTGAATCCGACAATGTAAACGGCATGAAAGATGAGACGGAGAGGACGCGAGAGAGAGAGACGAGAGGAGAGCGAGAGAAGAAGAGAGAGGAGAGAGAGAGAGAGACGAGGGAGAGAGAGAGAGAGAAAGAGAGCACGAGAGAGCGAGACGAGAGGCGAGAGAGATAGAGAGCGAGATAGATAGATATAAACAGACAGATGATGGATGAACGGATACGCTGGCGTTACAGACTGTAGTGTACATCTTCGCATTGTTGATAGATGGACGATTCTAACGATTGTGTTGCCGTACAGTACCGGTGGTTAGATAGAGAGAAAGAAAGGTAGATAGCATGGATGCGATGGATGGATGGACGGATGGACGCGACGGACGACGGAGACGGACGACGGACGGACGGACGGGACGGACGGACGGACGGACGGACGGACGGGACGGACGGACGACGGACGGATAGATAGATAGATAATAAATAGATAGATAGACTAGATAGATTGATAGGATAGATAGATAGGATAGATAGATAGATATTAGATAGATAGATGATACGATGTATAGAGATAGATGATAAATAGATAGGATAGATGCATATAATAATGCATAATAATAATATATATGCATATAATATATGATTGCATGCCAAATACTTTACAAAAGGAAGGATATTCTGTTCAAATTATACATGTACATTAGTCATCTTGGTCAGTACAAATCTATCGCAGGTACCCTACATGGTAGAGCGTCTTATTATGTTTTACGTGAGATACTATGTTTAATCTGAACAAAATTCGATCATCTTCGCGGGATACTGAGCATGCGCGAACACAGGTGGTAAGCTTCATACCATAAACAAGGTCCATAATACCACAGGTTAATGAAAGTGTCAATGACACTGTAGCTCACCGCAAAAAAAGGACACAAATGAGTGAGTTGAGAGAGGTCAGTTTTTAATTGAGCACCATCGACGTACATTATAGAAACGAATAGTATATATGGAGAACTCCCATTATATATCTTGATAATTACATGTGTTATTATTTTATGATGTGAAAATAATAAATAATATTATATATAAATTATAAATAATGTATTAACCAAAAATGAATCACATTTGTGACGGTAGATGGCGCTATTACCCGCTTTGATGTTTCTTAGCATAAAATAATAATATAATGATAAGATATATAATAATAGTTATAAATCATGATATGTTTCATAGCAGGAATTTTGCATTAAAGCTAATTGTCAATGAAATCTTGTAAACGAACAGACGAGTGTGACACCACAGACTGTTTTGTTATCTGCGCGTCTATATAATATGCAATATTATTGCCAAACCCTACCTAATTTGCATAACTTTTTTTAATATCAAAAAACCCTAGCCCTTATTCATTCACATACCAAAAATTGAGCAAAATCCGTTGAACCTGAACTGACTAATGGGCAATTCCCATTTTTGAAAAAAATTGCCGTGGGCTCGAAAGTACGCGTCGACTGGCGTGCTCCAAAATGACGTTTAATGTGGGAGCATAGCAGTAACAACTATATATATTCCCAATTTCAAACATGTGGGTCAAACGGTTCCTGAGTTATCGTTGACCGCTAGCAAATTGTTGACGACGAGCGAGGACGGACGTACGACGGACGACGACCCATGGCAATAGCCAGCTGGACGAGTCAAGGTGAGTACCTAAAATGGAGCTGATCAATTAATGCCGAAGACTAGTATACAGTTCGTGCATGTCCAGCCCATATCGGACAAATATACAAATATTTCGATAAACTCAGGAGTAAATAATAGCGGAATATTCCCTATTATCTACTCCTGATAAACTATATTAATTATGTACACGCAGGGAATCGATGTTCAGATGAACTTCTTGCATGTCACTATTATAGCAAGGGACCTGTGGCAGGGCCAGTGCCGCCACATTGAAGATAGCGAGATCGCGGATGTGCGATGCCGCACCACCTGTCGGCAGGCCACGCTCCATTTTTAATGCTTAACGTCGGCCCTACGTGATTTCCTATTGGCAGATCGTCACGACAATGTCCGCGACCTATCATGGTGGGCATATTAATAGCCTTGGGCATCTTATATTTCTTAGGCGTGGAGACATTGAGATAGAACACTTATCATGGCAAATATCCGCCTAGTATCGCTTCCTATTTTAAATGCTAGCCTCAACAAAATTCGATTCATTTCCTAGGATATTGCGCGAACCCATAATATAGCTTTTAAAAGTTACAAGATAACGAAAACAACACAAACAACAACAGAGAATCTATCACGTTAACGATGAGATATAT